GGGGCCCGCGCCCGCGCCCGCGCCCGCGCCCTGCCTGCGATTGTAGTCGGTTCGTCTCCCAGTGCCCACCCGTCCGGGGCCATGTCCTGTCTCCCACCCCGGGCCCTCCGCACGGACATCCATTGTTCCCTCAGACTTCCTGGGCCCCACGCAGACCCTTCCTCCGTCCACCGCTTCCAGATGTCACCGACTCCTCGACCTCAATTCGGCTGGCTCTTTCCCATTCCCCAGCGGATTTGGCCGGCTCCCGCTCCGGAATTTCCCGGGCCCCTCCTCCTTTCCTCCTCACCTTCCCTCTCTCCTCACTTCTTCCCTCCCCTCCCGCTCGCCCAAGTTACTGGATTCACAGATGTTTCCAGTTTTCCCCCACCTGGAGATTCTCCTGTCCTGAGCTGGGTTACAAAGGGCATAGTTTTAAGGGCTCAGTCACAGCCGTGCTCTGTTCCTGGTGGGGAAGAAGTTGTCGCCCCTACCTCGCCGTCCCGGTGACTCCTCCCCAGTAGAAATAAGGGAAGAGGATATGGGGCTTTGCCCGGAGCTTCGGGCGGTGGTTCGCCCAGGGAGGTTGGCTCACCTTTCTGCGGGACTCCCTGCTCCTCCACTTCCCAGGAACCTTGGCGGCCCGAGGGTGCTTTGCAGCGCAGGCTGCTAGAGGCGGGAGGATTCCCCATGCTACTCTTCTGAGAGCGTGCGGGGTCCCTCAGGTTCACTGCGCACCATCCCCTCTTGTCCGGTCTAGCATGTTCCAACTAAGGAGGGGTCAGGCTGTGGGCTCAGTGACATTAGCAGGTGTGATGACAAAGAAGCAAATAAATACGTCCAAGAGCTTAACGCTTCCCAGTCCAATCTCCATCTCCACAGACGTGGGGCTGCCAGCTCACCAAGATAACGGGTTTTGGGGGCGGGGGGGAAAGTTCAGAATCCCACCTGCAGGGAGACTCTAGGATTGGGGGGTGGGATAAGCACCGAAGGCGTATCCTTGTGCACGACTGAGGTGTTAAGTTTCTGGGCGCCTGGGATGGGATGGGAAGAAGAGAAATGAGAGGGAAAGAAACGAAGGAGCAGGAAAGAGATGGATTTCCCTCTGCCTGCAGCGCGACTGTGCATTTGGGCAACTCCAGAAAAGGCCCTCTTGGAGTCTGAACACTAACTAGATTCTTTTCTAGAACTCGGGAGAACTGGTGGGTTTAGGAAACTGTGAAGAGTAGCGTGACGCATTTAACATTTCCACTCCCAAAATTTCTGACAATCTTTAACTTCAAGGACGTGTTGGGGGCCCCTTTTGGCTTCCCGGCTGGAATCTCAGCTTCCTCACTGCACAAAAGTACTAATTGCAGCTTCAGTTGTTATACGTCAAGGGCGCTATGCTCCCTGTCACTTGAACATTTAAAAAATATCGTGTTTCAGAATAGACATTTCATGCAGAGGAGAAGAGGACCTGCTACTTCTAGAACTAGCCTGAGGGTGAGGGGGAAGGGTTGCCCGGAAGTTCTGATTCCTGAGGCCGCTGCCTCCTGGCCTGCTGTGCACTTGGGCCACTTGAAACTCCTTTCCACGGTGTTCGCAAGGCCGAGTCACTGACAGGTAGGAACACTTGATTTATCGGCAGGAGGCTCAGTACTTGGTGGTTCCTAAACACTTGGGGGAGGTGGGGGAAGAGGAGAGGGAATGAAAACCCCAAGACTTGAAAAATGAATTCGTGTCTAACCCCCAGCCCTGCACCCAGACTTAATCAGCTCCTTTGGCTGAGGCTTTATGGGGTGCTCCAGCTTCAGCCTGGAGGCCAATTAAGTAAGTGTTCTTCCTAAACATCTCAGCGTTTGGTGAATTCGGTCCTTAAAATAAATGTGTTTCTTCTGCTCGCAGTGCGCGGGGACGAACACTGCGACAGCGACTCGTTTGTTTTCCGAATGTGGGAAATGCCAACGGCCCCGGGTTTTGCAATAGACAGTTGTGCACCGCTGTCCCTCCCCTCGTTCCCTCTTCGTCCTGGGAACGTGTAAACAGCTTGTTATGTAAATTGTAAATCGAATAGTAGTGGAGTTCTGGCCTCCCCGCTTCGTGTATAAAAGTTGCCGTTGTGAAATTAGTATCTGGCATGCGAAAAAAAATAGAGGGATGCAGTTTTATAAAGATCAACTTTCTACTGGTTTAGCTCTGGACATTCGCCAGGAAAAGATATTTGCATTTGTGTTTATAAGCTTACTCGGAAGCAAACCTCCAGTAAATGGCTTGATTGTATTTCAAGTACTTATTGTTGCGAGCGGCGTAAGTGAACATTAAGGCGCAGATATGAAGGCTAAAATTCTCATTTCCAGGTTAAAATTTTTGATGCCCCTTTTTCCTGCTCCACGGTAAAAGGCGCATCAAAATCACCCGTCCCCCCCCCTCCCCCCGCAACCCTTGACTCAATTGGCAGAAATGTCCCTCAGGCGACAGCGGTAATGAATGTTTGGTGGAACTATCCTTCGGCGGGTTCCTCGACCCCCATCCCCTCCTTGACCCTCCAGGCGGGGTTACAATTCCCTGGGTCCACGGAGGGATTCTTAGCTCTGAGGAAGGGGCGTGACGTCACAAGGATATTTAAGACAAGGCCTCCCCGGGCCCCGACAGTAGAAAAGCACCGGGAAAGGAGAAGTAGCGAGCACTCCAGGAAAATGCCCAGATTCGGGAACTTGATGACACCTCAGGAATGAGTGTGTGTGTGAAAGGGAGTAGAGCCCTAACGCAGGTCATCAGGAGTCAGGGGCTCCTTTTCTCTTCTTTTTCCTTTTTTTTTTTTTTTTTTTAAGTAGAAGAAAGGTTGGGACGGGGACCCCCAAATCCAGGAAATGACTGCGAAAGGGAGTTAGCCCAGACCTGGGTGCACAGACTGTCTTCCCCGTCAGAGACCCTTTGGGAACTTTCCAGAGTCCCCCTCAGCCCTGGCCAGCTGAATTACCCCCATGGCGTCCCCAGGCCCACTCCCTGCTCTGTTCTGGCTTAAGCTCGCCCTAGGCTCTGAGCTCAGAAGCCGGCCCATCGGGAGTGGGGTGGGGGGAGGGGGCTAGGACGCCTGCGAGCCGGCTGGGAATCCAGTCCCGTCCTTTGGCCCAGGACCTGCGAAATAGGAACGGCAGGCTTAGAGAGTGAGGAAAGGAGCGTCTACTCTAGATGGTGCAGGGACTCCCGGGGCTCTACAAACCCAGAAAGGAGGCTGCACGTCCTCAACCTTCCTGTCATCTCCCCTTTCCCGGCCGGTGACAAAGTGGAAGATTAAGGCAAATACACCGACAATTCGGCTTGAAAACTTCTCACTAGACTGAAATCACAAACAATTGGTGCAAGTCCGTTTTGGGGTGCATCTGACCTTTTTAGATAATTGTCATAGTTCTCCATATGGCCTCGTTTATGTAGACCAGAAGCCCAGGGGTAAGGGAGAATATCCTAGTGCTAATAACCGTTATTCGTTATCAAACCGTTAGCCTGGCAGGTAATGTTTATCATCAGTGTGACTTTTTAGAGGAGGAAGGAGGCGGGATTCAAATATCTGGGTGACCACAACTCCCAGGATCGACTTCCTTCTTCTCTCTTAATTGGGGGTATGTGAGTAGAAATTCTGTTAACGCAGTCCCTCTAATTCAGCCCCCTCCTTCGTAGAAAAATTATTCTTACAATACATAAAGAGCATTTGTTTTTCGATCGTTTTAAAGACAAAGTGATCCACATTGCTGTCTACATGATTGAACTAATTGGATAGTTACCCTCCTAAGGGGCAGCCCTCCCAAGGACGTTTACATGATGGGATAAGTTAATATTATCCCCAAAGTTCGCAACAGGAGCCGTCCACTAATTACTTACACGGGAGAGAATGTGCCAATACCCGCTCGTGGTTACCCCCTCGGGTCGACCCACCTGTCATCCCTCTGCAAGAAAGCCTCAATCTCCAGAGCGTATCTGGGAGCTCAGAGCCAAGCTGAGTAGCAAGAAAAGGCCACGGGGCTTGCGGAAAGTGAATCTTTAACTTTGGTGACTGGCTACGAAAGACTCAGGGCTTTCTTTGTCCAGGCAGAGGTAGATGTCATTCCAAACTGCCACTTTTCATTAGCAAGTCAAGCCAAGTGTACAATTTGTAAAGGGGCGGATGATCGGAAAGGATTAGTTGTATGCGTATGTGCTCTCGCGCCGCTCGGTTTTTCCCCACCCAGGTCCCCAGGCCTCTCTGGGCTGCCGCCGCAAGCTGGGGCCTGGGAAGGTAGAGGC